GCATTCTGGTGCGGCGTGTTCATTTGACGGACCGGGGACCTGGTCTGGACCGGGGACCTGGTCCCGTACTGGGGACCTGGTCTGGACTGGTGACACCGTTTGCTCTGGGGACCTGGCCCTGGACTGCAGACCTGGTCTAAACAGGGAACCTGGTCTGGATTGGGGACCTGGTCTGAGCTGCGAACCTAGTCCTGGACTGCGGACCTGGTACTGACCTGGGGATCTGGTGCTAGACTGCTGATCTAGTCCTGGACTGGGGACATGGTCTGGACTGCGGGCCTGGTCCTGGACAGAGGACCTGGTCCTGGACGTTCGGACCTGGTTCTGGACTGGGGGTCTGGTGCCAGACTGCGGATCTAGTCCTGGACTGGGGACCTGGTCTGGACTGCGGACCTGGTCCTGGCCTAGGGATCTGGTGCCAGACTGTGGATCTAGTCCTGGACTGGGGACCTGGTCTGGACTGCAAACCTGGTCCTGGACTGCGAACCTGGTCCTGGACTGAGGACCTGGTCCTAGGCTGGGGACCTGGTCCTGGACTGGGGATCTAGTCCTGAACTGGGGGCCTGGTTCCGGACTGGGGATCTAGTCCTGAACTGGGGGCCTGGTTCCGGACTGGGGATCTAGTCCTGAACTGGGGACCTGGTCTGGACTGCGGACTTCTTCCTGGACGGAGGACCTGGTCCTGGGCTGGGAACCTGGTCCTGGACTGGCGACCTGGTCCTGGACTGGCGACCTGGTCCTGGACTGCGGACCTGGTCTGGACAAGTTTGAACTGGTACCGACAGATCAGATCAATGCTAAGCTGATTGGATTACGGCGGAAGCAGAGCATCAAACAACGGCGAAGCCGACCTGGCCCAATTCAAATTCCGGCACGTCCACTGCAGCTTAGTGACATACTCCCGGCAGAACGTCGTTGGTATTCTCGTGATGGTCCCAGGCGGTGGTTGCCTCTGACTAGCGGCCGTGCAGACAGAGTGCAGAGCCGTGCAAACGGCTGCGACGTCCTGTTCAGAATTAAATAACGAAATAGTGCTTCCTGGCACACTAGGTTCATGTTCCGTTTCGTTTGGAGCGGCAGAACGCTCCAATTACTTCCATCTTTTCAGTTATTCACGAAGCACAGCGATGTGTTCTGTTACTAGCTAATTATGGCTGTCCGCGCAGATCCCTGCTGGAGGGCTTGGTTACCTCATCACGCCCAAGCGCGCGAATGCTGGCGATTCTGTACGCTCCCTGCTTAGATCCGACGCCAGGCCCGCAGCCGAGTGTGTGCTGGGGATCTTGCACGCTCCTTACTTAGATCCGACGCAGGCCCGCAGCCGAGTGTGTGCTGGGGATTCTGTACGCTCGTTACTTAGTTCCGACGCCAGGCCCGCAGCCGAGTTTTCTGCAATGTGGCAATGCCCTGCACCGGCCAGACTTGACATAGACATTGGTCATTCGGGGAAAGCTGTATACATGTACAAATTTATGTACGTTTAAAACACTCTCCAGTGTAAAATGTTCATTCTGAGTGTCTTGTCGACATCTTAAGAATAGAAACATGTTGAAAAGGGCACTCGTCGCAGCAATCACACCGAAACACATCAAAGGAAACACACACTTCGGTTTGTGTGTGTGTGTGTGTGTGTGTGTGTGTGTGTGTGTGTGTGTGTGTGTGTGTGTGTGTGTGTGTGTGTATATATATATATATATATATATATATATATATATATATATATATATATGTATATATATGCAGCAACTTCAAGCTTATGGTTTGCGCAGCTCACACTGACAAAGTGCGGAGTTTCGGAGGTAAAGCGTTGTAGAGCGGTGCGACACTGCACAGGAGGCGCCGCCTACTCGCCTCCGTTCTCAAGCGCGGGAGAGCTGGATCAGTCAGTTGAGCGTTGCATTGAGAAACGCGTTGGGGAGGGGGGGGGGGGGGGGCTTTGATGACAACCTGTGGAACTCGCTGCGAAGTCTCAGAAAGTTATCATCCATGTGAAGACGATTTCCAGTAGACGTCGGTCTGGACGCATCCCCCGTTGAATGAAAATGGCGATATATAAGGTGAAGAATGATCAACCACATTAATCAAAATAATCGCCCAATTATCGACTAACTATCCAATTGATCAAAGCGTTTACTGCCATGCATTTCCAGGAAGAGTTGCTGTCCCCAAACAACACGAATGAAACGAAAGAAATTAGGGCGATGCTGCTACAATAATTACATAACAGGCCATAATCTACGATGAAGGTCATAATTACGTCGGCCAGCCTAGCGAACATTTTGTTGAAGTGAGTCTGCGGTAACGCAAGAAGTAGCAGGGCGGGGAGCAGGTGGCAGGTAGGTAGCAGAGCGAGGAGCAGGTAGCAGGTAGGAAGCCGGTAGGTGGCAGAGCGGGGAGCTGTGCCGGTTGATTTCATATGGCGACTGCCGCGCACTGGTGCGTGTTCCGCATTGGTGCCTGGTCCACTGGTGCGTGCCCCGCATTGGTGCGTGCTCCACTGGTGTGTGCTCCTCATTAGTGTGAGCTCCGCTGGTGCGCGCTCCTCATTAGTGTGAGCTTCGCCAGTGCGTGCTCCGCATTAGAATGAGCTTCGCTGGTGCGTGCTTCACACTGGTGTGTGCTCCACTGGTGCGTGCTCCGCATTGGTGTGTGCTCCACTTGTGCGTGCTCCCCATTGGTGCGTGCTCCATTAGTGCGTGCTCCGTGTTGGTGCGTGCTCCATTGGTGCGTGCTCCTCATTGGTGTGAGGTCCACTGGTGCGTGCTCCGCACTGGTGTATGCTCCACTGGTGCGTGCTCCGCATTGGTGCGTGCTCTTGTCCCCAACCTAAGCTAACCTGGAGTTTACTGCACCGACCAGAGCGACCGATTACGTGCTCTCTCGGACGACCAGGGTAGCAATCAGTCTCACCTCTTTGATCGACGTAATCAAACACTCTGATGTCATTAGCTGCGCCAAACGGTTGACCCAATCGCACCAACATGAAGCTGGCGCAGAACAGTTCCACTCAAAAACTTCACCAGACAAACCCAAACCGCCTCAATCGCATACTGCTGCTCTAGGTACAGGTATTCCTCCCGGCCGCTGCAAAACAGCCTTCGTGGGTTCCAGGTCTCTGCCCTGAGTCATGCTGTGCTCGTCAACAACTTGAGCCACTCTGCGCCCGAGTCCCACGCCGTTCAGGATGCCGATGCGCCGTTTTTTGGTGCTTGGCGAGAAAGATGGCGCTGGTACCCCGATTCGCCGCATGGAGCGCTGCCTGTCTCCCCGAGACGAGTGGCTTTGCGAAGACAACCCTGAGATGGATGCAAGCGAATGCCTAAATAATGGCGTTTACCAGGCCCCAGAACTTTCAGGCGCTGCCTTAGTCAGAACTGCTTTATGGGAAAGGTCATTGTCCCGACCACACGGTGCGGAACCCTGGCATGATATTTGACCCCTGCCTGTCGTAGGACGCTCCCCATATCCGTCCCTCTTATCCTCTATCTCGCTTCATCCTGCATCCTCGCGGCACCCCACTTGTCCGGGACGGGCTGCATGCGTCAGCCACGAGTGTTTTTTTTGTTTTGCCCCGGCAACCTTAAGTCGTAGCCGGGGCTGGGGAAACTTATTTCTGGCTTAAGGCCAAGCAAAATGCTGCGTTAAGCCGGCTTGTGCTATCCGGCGCAACGCAAGGGAGAGATAGACTACGTTACGTTAAACCGGCTTATGCTGTCCGGTATCAATATAAAAGGTAGTAAATGCAAAGTAGAACACGAGGCACACACATATTCATGGTATTCAAGCATCACAATACGTTTGGATGGCGGACGACCACCTCATCGCAAGCCACGAGTGAGCCGAGAGCCCCGTAGGAAGGAGACCCCGACCGGGTACTCAGCGCGCATGCGCGGGTTAAAGCCCGGCGGTTCGCCCCCCAGGCGCATGCGAGTTTGCTCCACCTTTAACCATTTTCCTTCATCCCATAGCCCTGAAATCATCATTTCTGGTCGAAAGGGCTCTAATCCAAAAAAACAAAACCAAACGTAGGACGCTCCCCCTACCTCTGTTCAGCTCACACCATGCAGTTCTTCTTGACACTTGCTGAGAATTCACACGCTCCGTGTGTGACGTCCGTAGTCGTAAGATAGATACAATCTTAAATATATATTTACATATATATATATATATATATATATATATATATTTTCGATGATGCAAAATCTCTCAACGTGGCGTCGAAGACTGCGTGCCAAGTCTCAGTGGTCAACAATGCCGCACATTCAGTCGATAGCCTCGTGCAGGGGAGCGCCGGCATCTCCACGTGGTAACTGATCGTGCACCACCTCACAGAACTGTAGATGCGTTTACAGCCCGGCTGAAGCCGCCGCCAGCGACGGCACGCTTGCCCACCGCTTGCCCGACAACAAGTTGGGCGTCGCGTTATAGAGGAGTCCGAATGACTGCGCCGACTGCGCTGCTCTCGCCCCTGGCATGAGTATCGCCAACCAATGACGTGGGCATAACCGCTCATTCCACGAGTCGATTGTAGAGCCGCGGAGCAATGCTGCGTGAGGAGCTTTGGCTGTTCAGTTCATTCGCTTGAAGCTGACTGTGTAGCTCATGTGTGGAAGTATGCGTCGTAGGACGTCGTCTTACGATGAAAAAACGACACCCCAGGTACCGACTGGCAGCACCCCCAAATCACTCGCCATGCAAGAAAAGCGCGTGAAAACAGCTGACGTATTGGGCGGCGATGGCAAGTCTCCCCTGCTATCTGATAGTGTGGGAAACTGCTTGTCTTTCATCTACCATCCCTCAAATCAACATCAAAATAGTTCAAATAAAACCCGTGCCGACGGCCGCGTCGGTTTGCGACGGCCGCTTCCATCGCGTGATCGACTCGATGTGACGCCGCGTTTATCCCTCCCCCACCCCGGCACCTGCCGCCCGTCACACTCGACCGTCACGGGACGTTTGCGTGGACATGCCATCACGGGTTATTTTCACTTTGCCGCAGGCGATCGGCGCAGAGGGGCGGAGGGCCGACCACTGCCAACGGCCCGAAATAACGTCCGGTCCAGCGCGGCAGTGAACGGCTGTCGCCATGGAAACGGACTCGGCCGACGGCAAGGGCATCAGTCCCCCGGAGAGCCCGTCCAAGAGGGCCGACTCGTCACTGACAGGTAAACAGCGGGACAAGTCGCTGCTCTTCTCCCCGCTCTTTCGCGCCCACACCTATACCTCTACCTTTCCCAGTCTTGCTTTCTGTACATCTTTCCCTTGCCGCTATCTCCTGGCCCCTGTCCATATCCCTTTCCACTCTCTCCTCTTCTCTCCTTTCTCGCCTCTCTCTCTCGCGCTCTTTCTTTTTTCTTCTTTCATTCCATAACATCTCCCCGCCGTGCCTCTACTCCCTCTCTCCTCTGTGCGTGTGTGGGGGGGGGGGGAGAACCTACCTCGGGGAAGGGAAAACCCACCGCATTCAGTTCTGTTTCTTGATGAAGATGTTCGGTCAGTCGGTCAGTCCGCGGTCAGTCCTGTTCCCTGATGTTCCCTGATGACCCTGATGAAGTTTGCAATGCGGAAGCAGAGCAAGCACTGTTGCCGTTTTCAAATCGTGCCAGGTGTGGATACAGGCAGAGATTACACCCTCGCATCCCAACTTGTAATTTTACTCTTTAGAGGAATGCGTCAATGAAATAAACTTGTGCATATTACATGTTACCATTTGTTGTGGATCCAAGCCCCGTGGGTTCGCAGTTTGGCATTATGGGCATGGGATCTGATCAGTGGTCATGTAGAACAGCAGCGAGCCAGACCTTCGTTATCAGCTGGCTTCGTACCGCCGAGAACCACGGCGGAATCAGCGACGATCTGCCGTCCTCCTATGTGGTTGTTGCAACAAAACCAAAGCTGGTCAACCGCTTATCAATACATATATTTTAAACATCTGAAACCAGCGAAAATGGCGAACATTTTCGTCACGTTATTGTGCTTCAGTTTTTTCAGACGAGTAAAATTTGATTACTGCCGAACGGCTGATCACCTCCGCTCTTTTTACAATGTCTGCAATCATCCCAGAGAAGCTCTGCTTTCCAAAAACATTCTTCTGTCAGTAAGGACCAGCTTGTCGCTGATCCGGGCAGGAGCCGGACTCGGTGCATTTTAGAGCTCTCCGTGGTCCTGGCGGTCCGGTGGCGACAGTTGGCTATTGACTGCCTGGAAGGTCAGGTCAGGGCGAACATACCGGTCCGACGGAGGAGAAGTGACAGTCACCTATTGACTGGTCGTTGAGATTCGCCACGAGCCTGGGTCGCCGGTGATATTTTGCGGAAGGCGGGCGCGTCTCACCCGTCACAAATACCGCTGACAGGGCGTCACGTGACGCGGCAGGATGTGATTAACGTGGCAGAGGGCCAGGCCCTCGGACTGAGGCTTGTTCACTTATTGAGAACGGAGCGAGTCGTGTCTCCTAGCTGTCAGCGAGCGGTGGGCGCTCCTAGCTGTCAGCGAGCGATGGGCACTCCTAGCCGTCAGCGAGCGTTGGGTGCTCCTAGCTGCCAGCGAGAGGTGGGCATTCTTAGCTGCTGGCGAGCGGTGGGCACTCCTAGCTGCCAGCGAGCGGTGGACACTCCTGGCTCCCAGCGAGCGGTGTGCACCCCTAGCTGTCAGCGAGCGGTGGGCACTCTGGGTTGAGGAGGTGGGGTGACAGATGTGGCAGCAGCTCCGCTCCTGCCCGTCGCCTTTGTCATGACTCAAGCTGTTTTCTGTTGGGAGGTGCTTGCTCCGACGTCCCTGCAGTCTCATTCTCATCCTGCAATCCATATCGTGATGGGACACTCCCGTAAAAAGGCACACTCCGGCCGTGATGGTCACTCCCGGCATTCTATAGTCGTGACAGGCACTCCCGACACTCTCCAGCCGTGATGGGCACTCCCGGCAACCTCCAGCCGTAACAGGCATTCCTGACACTCTCCAGCCGTGATGGGCACTCCCGGTACTCTCCAGCCGTGGTGGGCACTCCCGGTACTCTCCAGCCGTGACGGGCACTCTCGGAACTCCCCAGCCGTGACGTGCACTCCCGGAACTCTCCAGCCGTGACGGGCGCTCCCGGAACTCGCCAGCCGTGACGGGCACTCCCGGAACTCCCCAGCCGTGACGGGCACTCCCGTCACTTGCCAGCCGTGACGGGCACTCCCGGCACTCGCCGGCCGTGACGGGCACTCCCGGAACTCCCCAGCCGTGACGGGCACTCTCGGAACTTCCCAGCCGTGACGGGCACTCCCGTCACTCGCCAGCCGTGACGGGCACTCCCGGAACTCCTCAGCCGTGACGTGCATCCTTTCCGGGTACTTTGGTCACCGGATGGGAGCCCCGCTACGTCTCGGCTGGTAGTGACCGAGAGTCGCATCCTTGCTATGTGGCAGCGAGACTTCGACTCCCGACCGTATCGATTTGCGTTGTACGGATGTGTGGACCGCAAGCTACGAGTGCCCGCATAGTTGAACCAGCTATTCCTATTCAGACTCACCCAATTAACATCAAAACTTACAGGAAAATTAAACTTTTTCGAGTCCGCCAGCTCTCGCGTCGCGATCGGAGTTGAATTTACAACACGCGCGGCAGGCAGCTGACAGAAGTTATCAGTGATACGCTGGATTGTGGCCATATGGGTGGCGCGAGGATAAACACACGGCCCGGATGGAGCCGCGACCGGCCTGTCACGGGCGGAGCCGTAACGCCGCGGTGCTCTCTAGCGTCGGCCGGGCAGGAGCCACCGGGTCCATGTGACCTCGTGCGACCTTGGAGGGCCGGCTAACGGTCCGCGCACGGCCGAGAAGTGTGGACAGATGACACCGTGCTTCGGTCGGGGCAGAGCGGAGGCATCTGAGGTGGCGGGACGCGAAGCATACGGGACATATGCAAGTACGCTCCGGGATGCAGAGCGGGACGCTCCGGGACACAGACAAGGACGCTCCGGGACACAGAGAGGGACGCTCCGAGACACAGACAGGGACGCTCCGGGATGCAGAGCGGGACGCTCTGGGACACAGACAAGGACGCTCCGGGACACAGAGAGGGACGCTCCGAGACACAGACAGGGACGCTCCGGGATGCAGAGCGGGACGCTCCGGGACACAGACAAGGACGCTCCGGGACACAGAGAGAGACGCTCTGGGACACAGACAAGGACGCTCCGAGACACAGACAGGGACGCTCCAAGACACAGACAGGGACGCTCCGAGACACGGACAGGGACGCTCCGAGACACGGACAGGGACGTTTCGAGACACAAACAGGGACGCTCCGGGAAACAGGCAGGGACGCTTTGGAGACACAGACAGGAGTGTTCCGGGACACAGACAGGAATGTTCCTGGACACAGACAGGGACGCTCCGGAACACAGACATTGACGATCCGGGATGTAGACAGGGGCGCTCCGGGACACAGACGGGGACGCTCCGGGGTACAGACAGGGACGCTTCGGGACGCAGACAGGGGCGCTCCGGGGTACAGACAGGGACGCTCCGGCACACAGACATTGACGATCCGGACGTAGACAGGGCCGCTCCGGGACACAGACAGGGACGCTCCGGGACACAGATAGGGACGCTCCGGGACACAAACAGGGACGCTCCGGGGTACAGACGGTGACGCTCCGGCACACAGGCATTGACGATCCGGACGTAGACAGGGCCGCTCCGGGACACAGACAGGGACGCTCCGGGACACAGATAGGGACGGTTCAGAGTCGTTGCGCTCCTCCCTGCACCGAACTTGTACGGGCATATCAGTGTGGTTGTCCTCAAGTAAGTAGTACACTGTAAGTTCAGAGTTCTTATACTGACATTTATAAACCTTCAATGTACCACAATGTGCTGGTGAAATGACGCTATCAAGCAAAGATCGGTTGCATCATCTGCACAAGCATGGCGACATTAAGAACGCAGCCATTTTCCTTGCATGCTTCTTTTAGCGAGTACGCCATGGAACACTGCAGGTCAATACCTGTCAGTACACGAATTCTGGGCTCAAAATGCCGGAAAACTAGCAGTTCAAAGACTGTCCTGCCTGCATCAAATGTCAATATTGCATTCTATTCTTGCCCCTTCCTGGCTGAGGTCCTCCCCGATGGCAAGGACGAAATATTACTGGGACGGATGATCCGAATTTCAATCCAGTTCAGCTGTACTGATTACATTGCCCATATGACACCAGCTCGCTGGTGCCTAGGAGTCAAACTTTCTGAAAATCCCAAGAGAGCAATGGGATTTAAATGTTTTTTGCACGTGCAACGTCCTTTTGTGCCGTATGTTGGAATATCACGAGCTTGACTTGCACGATGAGAGGCTCTGGCACCAATGAGGGCAAGGGATTTTTCACCGATGCTGTCATAGCAGCGGGTCAGCGTGGGCCAATGTAAATAGATAGTTACTTTTATAATTAATGTCTACACAAGATATACTTAGCTCTGGTGATTTTGTCACATGATCTGCTTCGTGTCCTCTTGTGAATTAACACTTGGCATTCCTGTCTAAAGTCGTGCAAAAGGAACCATGGTGTTGCCCAGAGCAGCTCCAGGTGTTGTAGAAAATTTCGCAGTGTTAAGCACAAATATTTTTTACATATGATATACTATACGTTCTCAAATATATTCTCAAACATATTTGACGCTCAGCTGCCGGGCCTTGGAGATCGCCTGACGCCGGCCTCGCGCGTGCCAGACAACAAGCGTGGCCTAAGGCCTTGCTCGAGATCGTGCCTCCTCTGGCCCAGGAGCGCGTGCGATGGCGGAACGCTGCCGATACGCCACGCACCATCGATGTCATTCGGAGCCGACGACAGTAAATCCTTACTCTTTATCTCTCGTCGATGACAGCTGGCGCGCCGCGACGTCACATTGACGTCAGTGGCTGCTGCCATCGAGCCCGCTCGATCTGAAAATGGTGCCATTCGGCGGCAGCTGGTGCGCCGTGACGTCACGCTGACGTCAGCGCTGCTAGCCATCGGGCCGCACTGGCTGACAAGGAGGACGGGAAATAATAGGGTCACGTGGTCAGCCGCCCCCAGCAGGCTGAAGATGAGTGACAGAAGAGGTGCTTTGCGCGAGGTTACAGCTTGCAAATGGACGTCTGCACAGAAGCGACTATCTCATTTTTAAGTGTGAAATGCCACTGCTAGG